GTGTTCGACTCGTGCAAAGCTTTGACTATCTACCATCATGAAGGGTGGATTTAAATCTAGTGGACCTGGGCCGTCCCGTCGTTATTGTCTAGTGAAATGGCTCTCGGGGAGGGACGTTGGGACCCTCACCCACAACTTGGATCTTGACTGGGTCAAGGACTTTGAGGAATCTGACGACTATCGCGTCGAGTCGCATGTGATTGAGTGGAGAGTCCCTCCGATGCCCAAGTCGGGTTGGCCACTGTTTGACGGGGAGATACTTGAAATCAGTGGTGAGTAGCTTGAGTGACTTCGTGTTAGGAACTTTTGAATGGTGAAATCAATGGTGTCATACTGTTTCAGACGACTTGGATTTCTTGAAGCTCAGAATGGAGCAGGAGGAAACTGCCCTTCAGCTTGGAAGAAAGGAGAAGGAGAAGGAGAAGCAGAAGGGAAAGGAGAACAGCAATACTCCTCCTGCATCCACTCCAAGAGGCAGACCACTGCAAGAAATGAACAGCAGGAGCGACGGCATTGGTATTGAAGGTGAGTTTCCATAAATAGCTATTAATACTTCAACGAGTAGGCAGTTCCCTGGGGATAATGTCACAATAACATTCAACGGTCACTTGTTGGAATATTTTCTATTCTGCTGGAGTTTGTAACAATAGCGATAAATAAGATCATTCCTTTGTGCTTGGGGTATGCTTTATAACTGCAGTGATACTCTCCCTCCCTGTCTGCTTGGAAGCACGAAATTATCACTAGTTATGCTTAACATGAAACGTTTTAATTTGGTTTATTTCAGACGTGCAGAAACTGATTTGTTCCTTAATCTCTGGTGCTAAGAAGACATCTACCCCTTCCGAATCTCTAGTTGAAGAGACTCTGGTAAGTTGGATAGTTTACTTTCTTAGCCTCAAAGTTTGCTTTCTGAATCTTTTCTGAAACTAATTTGCTGCTTGGTTTTCTGACAGGTGAAAGTGGGAGAAGTCTTACAAATCAAGAAGAGCGCACTCATGGAGGCTAAGTTAGCCCGGTCCCCAACTGCCATGACAGTGGAACTGGTTCGGATAGCCTTCTCTGAGGACAGGCGCAGAAAGTCATCCTATGCTGGTCAGGTGAGAACGCGGAATGGCATCAGGGTACAAAAGCCATCCCTGAAGAAGTACCGCAAGATGAAGGACATTCAGAGTAAGTTCTTGTCTTATCTTTATACTTTGTGTTATGGAATGCAGTCCCTTTCCTCAAAGTTATATTTCCTTCTAAATTTTGTCAAAGAGAGATTCCCTCATTTTTCCCAGGCCCACTTCGGACAGGCAGTTAATTCATGCCTCGGTAAAAATGTTGATGCTAAACCCCAGAAAGAAGTGAGTGTTGTCTAATTCATTATCAAGATGCGTATTATGTATCCCTGCACTTCAATATATTGACATTTTCTGTTGCAGTACGTTGATGAGAGCGATGAAGAAGGTGGACTGTGAGCAAAACAAGATGTATTTTATAAACATTTTTTATTAAAATGAGATTGAGAACTTTACATAATTGTTGCTTTAAATTATCTTATTCCCCTTAAACCATCATTGACATAACACAATACAATGCACAGTAGAACCCAACCTCTTTCTCACAAACCTTCAGTCCAAACTTAAATTCCGTATCTAGAGTAGTGGGTCATTCTATTCTACCGCGTTTAACGACCGTTGATAATTTTAGTTAAACCATGACACTTGACAAGCAGCTGAAACATACCTGCAACAAAAATATCAGTATGTGAACAAT